TATATATATATATATGGCTTTGACTATCATGGGCCGGCCTGCTAGCACGGTCCTGTAATCCCAGCTAGTCAGGAGGCTGAGGTAGGAGGACTGCAAATGTAAAGCTATCGTGGGTTATTTGGCAAGAACCCGTCTCAAAATAGAAGGCAAAAAGAGGGCTGAATATATAGCTCAGTGGCAGAGTGCTTGCCAAGTATGCACGAGATTCAGATTCAGTCTCTAGTTACCTTAAAAAAAGGACAACATGCCTGGTATGGTGGCGCACGCCTTTAATCCCAGCACTTGGGAGGCAGAGGCAAGCGGATCTTTTTGAGTTCGAGGCCAGCCTGGTCTACATAGTGAGTTCCAGGCCAGCTGGGGATACAAGGAGACCCTGTCTCAAAAAGAAAAAATAAATAAATAAATAAATAAATAAGGACAACATTGAGAGAGCAACAAGAAAATCAATCACTTTCCCAAATTCTGTTTTCTGTCTTTATTCAATTACTTATTATTATTATTATTATTATTATTAAGATAGGTTCTCACTATGTAGGCCTGGCTGTCCTGGAACTGATAGGCAGACCATGCTGGCCTTGTAGCAATCCCTTTTCCTCTGCTTCCCAAGCTCTGAGATTATTGGCATGCACCCCTGTACCTGGCTGTTTGTGTGTGTGTGTGTGTGTGTGTGTGTGTGTGTGTGTGGTGTGCTTTTAAGATTTTTTTTTTTTTGGCCTTTTTGAGGCAGGGCCTCCCTGGGGCCCCAGCTGGCCTGGAATTTGCTATATAGACCAGGCTGGCCTTGAACTCACAGAGATCTGTCTGCCTCTGCCTTCCAAGTGCTGGGATTAAAGGCATGTGCCACCATGCCTGGCAAGATTGTTTTATTTAAAAAAATTAAGTTACATTTTATTGTTTGTGTGTGTGTGTGTGTGTGTGTGTGTGACATGTGTAGAGGTCAGAACACAACTTACAGGAGATGGTTCTCTCCTTCCACCATGTGAATCATAGGGATCGAACTCAGGTCATCATGTTTGATGGCAGGTGCCTCTCTACCGATTAAGCCATTTCATGGCCCAGGTGCTTTTAAATTTTGAGATAGGGTTGTACTATGTAGTCTACTATGGCCTTGAACTTGTGATCCCCTCGCCTCAGTCTCCTGAGTTGTGGAATTACAGGCATGCACTATCATGCCTGGCAGAAATTCTGTTCTTGATCTTTAACTGCCATGAAAGGCAAAACAAGCAGGAAAACTATGGAGAACTCCAGAAATCATGAGAACCTGCCAAGTGGAAAAGTTCAGGAGCTTACAGCTGTTGTTAGCTTTGGGAATCTCAAAGAATATACTAGACTTAACCAACCAAAATGAAAAACAAAATATACCCACCCAGTAGAGACTTATTCAAAAAAGATAGGATATTTACTATTTTATTTACTTATTTTTAATTTTTTGATCAAGAACTTTTTTATTGGGGCTGGAGAAATGGCTCAGTGGTTAAGAGCACTGACTGCTCTTGCAGATGATCTGGGTTCTGTTCCTAGCACGCACATGGCAGCTAAGAACTATCTGTTAACTCCAGTTCTGGGGGACCCAACACTCTCTTCTGACCTCCACAGGCACTGCATGACACAGGTACACTTACATACATGCAGGCAAAACACTCATACACATAAAATAAAAATAATAAATAAAATATTGAAAAAGAACTTTTTAATTGAATTTTTGTGAATTTGATATATTTAGAGCCCTTTCCCTATCTGTACCCTTACTTTGAAATTTTAATATTTCTTTTGTGGGTGGGTATGTGGGGGGTGTATGGAGGTGTATGTGTTCATAAGCCATAGCACACAGTTGGAGGTCAGAGGGACAACTTGCTGGAGTCAGTTCTCTTGTTCCATCATGTGGGGCCTGGGAACAAAGGACCCAGGTCATTAGCATTGGCAGCAAGAACCTTTATCCTCTAAATTATCTTGCTGGCTCCCATTTTATTAAATATTCATATTAGCCCTCAAAGGGGAATGAAAAATATTTATATTTCTTTTTAAAAATTTATGTGTATATGCTGGAGATCAAACCTAGGGCTTGGCATGTTGTAGAAAAATGCTATACCATTGACGCACCATCCCAGCCCTAGTGCATCTTTTTCTTTTATTATTTATTATTTTTATTTTATGTGTATGAGTATATTGCTTGCATGTGTGTAAGTGCACCTGTGTCATGCAATGTCTGTAGAGTCAGAAGAGGGCATTGGATTCCCCTGGAACTGAAGTTACAGATGATTGTTAGTTGCCATGTGGGCACTGGGAATCAAACCTGGGTCCTCTGCAAGAGCAGTCAGTACTCTTAACCAATGAGCCATCTATCCAGTCCCTCCCTCCCTCCCTCCCCCCTTCCTTCCTTCCATCTTTTTGAGATAGGGTCTCCCTGTAGCCCCAGCTGGCCTGGAACTCACTATGTAGACCAGGCTGGCCTTGAACACACAGAGATCTGCCGCCTCTGCCTCCCAAGTGCTGGGATTAAAGGCATAGGTCACCACACCCAGCCTCATCTTTTTCCTTTTTATAAAGATTTGTTTTTATTTTATGTGTATGACTGTTTTGCCTGTATGTATGTGCACCGAATGCATGCCTGGTGTCTGTAGAGGCCTGAAGAGGGCATTGGATTCACTGGAACTGGAGTTACAGGCAGTTGTGAGCCACCACGTGGGAACAGGGACCAAACTCGGTCCTTCTGCAGGAGCAGTTAAGTGTTGGTAACTGCTAAGCCATTTCTCTAGTCCCATAGATGACACAGTTTCCTATTTTATGCCTGTGTTGGATAACAGCTCTTTCTCAAGCCTACTGCCGATTTCTTGTAGATTCGTTTTTTAGCTCTAGATAAAATCATAAAATTGGCATTTTCTGTTATTGGGGACTTCCGTAGTCTTTTTCTGTCAAGGCAGCAGACCTTGAAGGACTAGAACGGAGATGAAGTCGCCTTCTCCCCCGCTAGTGGGAATGGGTAAAAGGCGGGAAACGACATTCATTCAGCACTTACTGAAGGCCAATTATAAAGAAGAGCTATGGTAAGGGCTTCGCATATTCTGACTAAATGTTCTCAACAGCGATTTTGACTACTAACGATAAGGTGCATCGCTTCTCAATCTTTTGGCTAATGATCAAGTACGCCTGCACTTTTGCCAGCACGTAACGTTCTTACTAGACTGACAAATCAGCCCCCATTCTTTTTTTAAAAAAAGATCCCCTATCCCCTTTGGCACCCTCCCATAGCCAGCCTCAGCCTGCATTCTATTATAACTGCTTTCGCATCTCTGATTCTGTGGCGCCAGAGATCTACTCTAAAGAATTGAGACCAGCAGGCGATGCAGAGGTCTGGATCAGTTGTCATCTCCCTCTCTGTAAGTACTCAAGCCCTCCTCCCCGTCCTCAGCGGGTCCAGGTCGTACCTCGATTTGGAGGCGCTGTAGTTACGCGATTGCGGGGTGGTCATAACCCTGGAGCAGGAGGAAGGCTAACACAGCCACTTGGGAAGCTGCGGTTGTGTACAGTCCGTTGCCATGGGGACCAATCCCCAACGGCCTCAGCGGTGAGGGCGGGGCCATAGCGGGGCCACGCCCCCAAGTCCCCCGCCAGCCCTCTGGAGAAAAGTTAAGTAGTAAAGTTGGAGTCGGACCCGGGCATAGGGTTCTCTGAGATCTATTCAGTGCAGCAAGTTTGATATTACCGGGAGAACTGTGGCAGGAGGATAAACGGAAGCTATGGAGAATGGAGGCGCGCTTAGAGGTCGGGTCGCTTGGCCGGCGGGAATTGTAGTTTTCGGTGTCCCGGAGTTTCCGTTCGACAGGCTTATGGCTGAGCAGGGCTGTACTACATCTCCGGAAGGTCCATGCGATCCCTAGTTGGCACGCCTCTAGAGAGCTCTGCATTGCGGGATATGGAGTCCAAAATCTGATGAGGCCTGTTATTGTCCAAAGAGAGACGCGGGACTCGGACTCAGTTTCCCTGCGGCCCTGGGATGCTCACAGGCCATTGGCTGAGCCGAGCAGATCTGGTCGCGCTCCTCCCCGCCCCCAGTGACACAATAGCAGCTCCCTCCAAGATGGCGGCGGCGACGGTGGACCCGGGAGCTGGGAGCCCGCAGGCTGGGGACTCCTCCGTCGTGGACGCCGGGAGCGGGCTACCATCACCCGTGGAGCAGGAGCTCAGTCTGCGCCTGCAGCGCCTGTACCCCGCGGTCAACCAGCGTGAGACGCCGCTGCCTCGCTCCTGGAGCCCCAAGGACAAGTACAACTATATCGGCCTCTCGCAGGGGAACCTCAGGGTCCACTACAAAGGTATCAGCCCATCTGGCCGCGGGGAGACAAGTGCATAACATCAGCAGGGCGGCTGTGCTGCCTGGTATTGTCGGTCATGTCCTTTTCTTTGCCTGGTTCTACGAGTTAGGCCCTTAGCCCCTGCGGAGTGTCCACAGTAGTGGGGTTGACCAGGCCGGGGTGACTGCTTCCTTTGCTTTGCACTGAAACACCCGACCCCAAGAGAACTTAAGCAGGTGTCCAAAACCAGTGCTGTACTGGATCTTACACTTTAGAGCCTCCCTTCTTGTCCTGAACTGGCTCCAACTTCAGCTAGGCCCTTTAGCAATGCTTAGCTTATGTAGAGTTTGCAAAAAGAAGTGGTAACATTCCTCACTATTAGCAAAAGGTGCAAGGGCTGTCCTGCCAGTCATCCCAGAGTGGGTGGTGGGTTCTGTGTTATTAAAGTTGTTGGTGACTTCTATTTGTGCCACTTCCTTACCCTGTACTCCAGAGTGATCTGCTTGGATTCTGGAGAGACTGTCAACAATATTAGTATCTCACATGCACCTCCATTGCCTGTACCACTGCTGTGTTGTTATGAAGGACAGTGTCTTAGTCAAGACTCCTAGTCTCATGTGGAGAGGAGCCAAAGGTGGGAGGCTTAAGTGTTTACTCAGTTGTCTAATTATTCCTTGGGCTGTGCAAGAGCTTCCTCTGGCCAAGGAGCGTTGAAGTTACCATTGAGCAGAAAAAAATGAGGCTTCCATTTCCATTTCCTTCTTTGTCTTTTCACGTCAGGTCATGGCAAAAATCACAAAGATGCAGCCTCAGTGCGTGCCACCCACCCCATACCTGCTGCCTGTGGTATTTACTACTTTGAGGTGAAGATTGTCAGCAAAGGAAGAGATGGGTAAGTCCCTCATCATCACCCTTTTCCCCTCAACACTGAACTGTTGTTCTCTGTGGTCAGAGTTTGAGGTTCCTGGCTGACATTAGTGACTGATGTGAGCTGCTGACCCACTTGGATCTGGGCTACCTCTACCCCCTGACTGGCATGGTCTAAGCAGTGGGCCTTGATAGCAAGTAGGCATACTGTAGGTAAAGCAGAAGACATTTTTTTAGTATGTGATTAGATACTTCACAGATCAGAGATATAAGTAACAAGTTTACATTAACAATTCGGAGTTGGAATGGGGTTTCCCCTACTAGTGTGGTGTTTGTCACTTCCCTCCTTTCACAGTCAAGTTTTCTTTTTATGGCATTTAGTCATGTAGAAGCCTCAGGAAGCTTCAAAGGGATTGTGCAGTTTTTGCAGCATGCATCAAAGCTGTGGTGGCCACTGTCATCTCTGGGTAAACAGTGTACACATGGTCAGAGTCAGGTGACATTGCTGCTCATAAACTTGTTTTTCAGTCCAGCAACTTGAACACCAGTTGGACCAGCTTTAGGAAGGCCCTCATTAAAGTCAGCATTAGGGAGACTCCCTATTTGAGGGTGACCTAAACAGACATAGGATACCAGAGGGGACATTTTTCACTGTCTTCTTCCTTATTCTCCCAGTCTCCCCTTTTTCCAGTGATTGTGACAAAACAGGTTATTTAAGCTGTAAGATAACAGGACTGTAACTTTCTTGGGAAAAGCTTTCTTCATCAGACCTAAAACTTGGTAGGGGAAGTTTGCAAACACTACCATAACCCTCATTTGGACCCAAGTGTGCATTTTTTTTTTTTTCTTTTTTTTTGGTCTTTTTGAGATAGGGTGTCCCTGTAACCCCAGCTGGCCTGGAGCTCATTGTATAGACCAGGCTGGCCTTGAACTCATAGAGATCCGCTCACTTCTGTCTCCTGAGTGCTGGAATTAAAGGAATATACCACCACACCTGGCTCCTGCGTGTATATTTCTGAGCTTTTAGAATGATTTTTCTCTTGTAAAGACTGTCCTCCTTGTATTGTCTGTATGGTGCCAGATTAAGGTGCTATGTTGGGGGCTGGACTGTCAGAGTCAGAACCTTGCTTGCTTACTTAGTGACTTTGTAACTTCCCAGGCTTGCAGGGCTCTGTGGGCTTTGGCAGATCTTGGGGCTTGAGTCTCCTCATCTCTGTGGAAAGCTAGGCCAGCATCTAAGCTGCCTTTAACACTAAAATTCAGTGACTCTAGAATTTTAATCATGGGAGGCTGTTGCATCTTTAATTGTCATTCCCACCTACTGTTTATGTAGATAGGAGACACATTTATTGAAAGACTTTATAGTTTCAATTTTCCTTCCTACCCTCTGATAAAACATATATTTAATGCATTTGAACTAATTCAATGAGACTGACTTCTTAAAACACCTCAAAAATAGTTACAATGTTGACTAAAATGTTAGTGCTGGAATCTCATATTGCCAAGGAAACTGAGGGGTGTATCTCTTAAACTTGTAGGGAGATGGATCTTTTCTCTGTGGCCTACTTTCATAGATAATAGCTGAGCTAGAGAGAGACAAGAACAACTTTCAGAAAGGGAGTGTTTAAACTTAAAGATCTGGATTCCTTCAACTGGCCTTTTAGATTTCAGTGGTGCTTGCAGGAGACGACTATGTCATATTAGATTTTGACTGTAGGTATTGCCTACAAGTCTAAAGAAAAGTGGCTAGCTGGCCTATATAACTCCTTATGTAGCCAAGGATGACCTTGAACTCATGATTTTCCAGCCTCCATCTCTGGAGTGCTAGGATTACAATGTGCCTAATTTATACAGGGCTTCATGCATGCTAGGCAGGAACTCTACTAGCTGAACTACATTCCCAGCCCTTGTCCCCAGAATTTTTACATGTGGTAAATATAGCTATTGAGTTGATCTGGAGGCCTCAGTTTTATAAAGGTCATGTATATCCTTGATTACCGCTTCATTTGACAGCTGTAAAATTTTGAGTATGATCTTATGGTTACTTTATAGAATCCCTGAAAGGCTGTTCATGAATGTAGCCAGATGTTGGTATGGGCCAGGTGTGGTTTTTGAGGAAGCCAACAGCAGTTGTAGGGCAGAGAGACACTGTCTCTTTCCAGTCAGTGTTGGAGATATATTTCTGACCCAGGTCTTCTCCATGACCCAAGCATTTACTGTAGCTACTGGTCATGTAGTTTTCCTATTTGTCTCATTTGAGCCTCATAGCCTCTCTAGAAAATGACTGGAGCACATGATGACATACTTGTTTTGTGGATGAGTCCCTGAGATATTTAGTGGCCTGCCCTGGCTGCAGGGCTTAAGATGTGCAGTAGAATAGCCTAACTTGTCAGATATCCTTACCTGATCCCAGACACATGTGTCTGTGCTGCTGCTGACTTTTCCCATTATGCCTGCTATTGAATTCCTTCCCTGGGTTAATGTGAAGGAATATCCTGTTGGATCCTTACAGGATCACCATGTCAGGGGATAGAGCTGAAAGGTGCTCAGTGCTAACTAAGGCTAGAGAAGTATGGCATACTGTGTGTTGGGCTTGATTGACTTGCTTTGTCATTGAATCTGTAAACCTGTTTTTCTGTAAATTTGTGTGTGCTTAAGGTGTTCATGAATCCAGTTTTCAGTGTCAGGATTCTGCAGAAATGGTTTTATCTTCACAAAGTTGTGGGGGTTTTTTGTTATTGTATTTTTTTTAATTTAATTTTTAAAATTTTATGTGTATGAGTGTATTGCCTGCATGTGTATAACTGCACCCATGTCATACAGTGCTTTCAGAGTTCAGAAGAGGGTGTCAAATCCCCTGGAACTGGAGTTGTAGACAGTTGTAAGCCACCATGTAGGTGCTGGGAATCGAACCCAGGCCTTCTGCAAGAGCAACCAGCTGAGCCATCTCTCTAGCCCCTTGTTTTTTATCTTTTTGAGACAGGGTCTCCCTGTAGCTCTAGCAGGCCTGGAACTCACCGTGTAGACCAGGATGGCCTTGATCTCACAGAGATCCTCCTGCCTCTGCCTCCTGAGTGCTGGGATTAAAGGCCCCGATCCCTACTGTGTTTTAAGCCCTGTCTTAGATATGAGAGAACAGAAGCAAGGCCCTCAATAGATGACCAAGACCAGCAATAGACCAGCCTTGTCCTCAGGGGATGTTGTCCATTCAGTAGTGAGTGAGCCTAGGAGCTCTTTATAAGAGGAGCAGAGCCTGAGCCTCATAGTGAGAGATGAGCAGGAATTTTCAATAGGTGCTACCTTCAGACTTAGGAATCTTGTGTGTAATTAGCTCCGTGGTGGAGTGCTGTGCTATTTGGGTGCGTCTCCCTTAGGAGGGAGAGCTCTGTAGAAGGAGGGGTTGTATTTGAGCTAAGAGCTTGGCACAGACTGATTGACCTCAGCTGTATTTTGCCAAGTCACCAGAACTGAGAACCTTGGGAATAGGTTTGATAGAGTGAGGAGACATCTTGGCCCTGTCAGTGGTGCCAGTAGATAAGGGGCATCTGGGTTGATCTTTCTAGGAAGCTAAGGGTCCCTGGAGGGAGAACAACTTCCTCAGGCAGATTTTATGGACCTGTGGGTGTCCCTACCTTTTAGTGATGACACATGGAAGGTGTGGCTATCCTGACTGACAGATGGTTCAAGTGTGACCCTCAAAATAGACTGTAACATCATCCTGATGGCAGAGGCCTCCTGACATGTGATGGGTGGCTCTACCCAAGAACAGCAGGCCAAGGCTAGAGCACTAGATGATGTAGGGAGGGGAGGTGGAGCTCTTCTCTGCAGCTGGGCCCCTGAACAGGGATCTTTGGTCACAGCTAACCAACTCTGACTTGCTGTTGCGGCTGACTTCCTTTTGTTAAATAGCAGTGTGCCCCCCTTTTTTTTTTTTTTTTTCCCCTGTCTTTTTGAAGGAGGGTCTCCCTGTAGCCCCAGCTGTCCTAGAACTCACTATGTAGACCAGGCTGGCCTTGAACTCACAGAGATCCGCCTGCCTCTGCCTCCCAAGTGCTGGGACTACAGGCGTGCGCCACCACACTCGGCTTAGCAGTGTACCCTTCTATTCAGGCTACACAACAGAATGAACACTCATTGTTTTCCTATGTCTGGGCTCCAGGAGCACAGACATGAGGTCTGTCTAGAGATGAGAAAGATACACCCTTGCACATGACCTCATAGGAGGCAGAAATCATTAACTGATGGTGTGTGTCCTATTTGGGGTGGTCCAGAGGATAGATGTCCTTCTGCACCTCTGGGTTTAGGGGCAGCTTCACAGAAGAGGCGGTGATTGGAAAGAGAAACTAGAATGCTTAAGGTGAACAAAGAGAGAAGCAGATGCTTTGGGCAGAAGACAGTACATAAAAAGATGTGGAGGCTCGCCAGGCATGGTGGGCGCATGCCTTTAATCCCAGCACTTGGGAGGCAGAGGCAGGTGGATTTCTGAGTTCAAGGCCAGCCTGGTCTACATAGTGAGTTCCAGATTTACTATGGTGAGTAATCCTAAGACTGAGGTAGAGGCAGAGGCAGGAAGGTTGAAAACTCAAGTTCAAGGCTAGCCTAGGGCTACATAGGGAGATCCTGCTTGAATAAAAAAAGTACCCAAGACAGGTAGACAGGGGCTAGATGGAAAACTTGTGTGCTATGGCACATGGACTTTGTCCTGAGGGCAGTTGTGTGTACATACTCTGACTGGGGAAGAAGACAGTGCTGGTCTGGTCACCAGGCCCCTCTGCTGAGAACCCTGTCCAGCTGGGTCAGTGGCTTCAAGTGTTTGGCCCTGAGCATGGTTTTCTCACAGCATTATCCTTCCTCTTTCTCAGCTGGCCTTTCTCCCATGTGTGGAGATGATGGGAAGGATTGGTGAAGACTAGTAACCCTCTTCAGAGGTAGAGTGACTGCATATGCTGTAGTTCTTTGGTGATTTGGTTTTGCTAGCTCCTATGTGAAAGATAACACCATCCTATGTTTTTTTTTTTTTTGGTC